AAAACTTACAGCTACTTGTTACAAATCCAAATCAGATTCAGAAGATGAACTTTCAGAACCAAGATTTATAATAACTGGCTCGATCATTTTATCAGTAATATTGTCCAGCTTCCACATTTTTTCCTCTTCTTTAATAGTTTGATTTACTGCCTTTTCCCAGTTTTCAGGTTTTACATTATTTACGACCTCCAAAAACAACTGTTTAACATCATGAATTTTAAAAGTGGTATTTTTTCTTGAAACTTTACCTTTTTTCTGTGCCCATACCAGTTCAATCGGGTTTAATTCACAATGATATGGTGGGATCTAAGTACTGTCATTCCACGATTTTTGGCAATTTCATAAATTTCGTATTTTTTAAATTTTTCTTTATGAAGGGCACACAACGAATAAAGTTCCTTTCTTATAGATCCGGGACGGTACGTAATATTTTTTGAACTCAGCCAATTCTGCAAGTCTTTTTTTAACCACTTGGTTGTGGGCAGTCCTTCCATAAGTCTGGAGTGATAACTTGCATTATCCATTACTATTACACAGTTCTTAGGAAGAAGATCTATCATTTGTTCGAACCAGTCTTGAAAGACACCAGCGTTCATGTCTTCATGGTAGTCACCGGTACGAGTTGATTCAAAAGTTAATAAACCACCTTCAACAAAACCGTCTGAACTGCCAATGTGTACTATTATTAGCCTGCGTCCCTTTCCTGATGGTGGGTTTAAACCAGTAGATAAGTTATTCACAAAACCGTGCCTTTGACTTGTAACAGTTTCATCCTGCCAAACTTTATTTGGTGTATGACCCTCGTTGATTCATGTTTCATCAAGATAAAATATTTTTCTTTTTTGGTTTCTCATTTCCTTTATGGTTCTTATAAAATGTCTTCTCCATATGACAATATCGCTTCTTTCTAATAAAATAGACTTTCTGGGATTCTTTTTCCAGTGGAAGCCTATTTCTTTTAAAAGTTTCCATAACGTACTTCGACTCATTTCTGGGTAATACTTATCATCTCGAACTGAGACAAGAACTTTATTCAATGTTGGAAATTCTTGTCTAAAAAAGAATTCATGCACTTTCCGTCGAAGTCCTTCTTTAAAATGATATTCTATTTAAAATTTTGGTTTTCCTGGAGCATTACGTGGCATTTGAAAACTAACACATTTTTCTTCTTTAATAACTCTGTAAATCGTAGATTTCCCAACACCAAGTGTCCTGCTAACTAACTCAACGGTCTCATTAACACTTTCACATAAAAGTTTGTCTGTAAATGATTTAAAACAATTAAATATTAATGTTTTTTTCATTAACTGCTAAAGGACCAATTTTTCGGCGTTTACACGGCACTTCCAAATTTTCCGTAACACTAGTATACACAATAAACTGCACCTTGCAACTGAAGTACCTACTTTTAGTGAACTGTTAAGAATTTTGAATACGCCACTTGGACCTTCTTACAAAATGGAAAAACCCACTATCACATTTTCTCTGGAATAAGTTTAGAAGGTAATTATCTAGTCAATTACTGTCGTAGATTCCTGGAATTAAAGAATTAAATGTTTGATTGTTGAAACCCTTACTTCGTGGAATGCACTCATTTCAGATAAAATAAAACGTTTTATTTTATCTAAAAAATTAAACTTTATTTTGCAAATAAGTAGGTACTTATTAAACTTTTATTGGTTATATATAACCAATAATATAAACATCTTACATTTCTTGTAAATTCATTAGTACCTGTTAACCTCCATCACTCCGACACTGGCAACCTTATTTAGGGATTAGTAACCTTCAAAACTATTGTATTCTATTCTGCTCCAACCTTTATACCTGGTGGTCATACTCAATTTAAAATTGTTTTCCTATATACTTCTGTAAACTTGTTGACAAATATCTGTTTTTCATTGAGTCGTCCGTATCAACAGTTTAGGGATTTGCATACATAATTTATTGTTTTATTACTCTCTCATACATAAAAATACACTATAGTCTACTAAAACTTGACTAAACGTCAATATAATAGAAATAATGAATACACAGAATAAAAAGATATTAATAAACAATTTCTAAGCTTTTTATATTATTTTTGAGTTCATTTAATCATATTTATGATTTTAAATAAGTTTGTTATTAATGCTTAGTGATACATATAAGTGTATTTTAAGGTTTTATCTCAAATCAACCTAAAGCCCAAAGTTTTAGGATCGGAGAAACTACGGACTCCAGTTTAGTGATTTATCGTCTTATAATAGTAAGTTTTTCTCTTTGACGATGGACAATTAATAACATAAGTAAGGTGAGAAAAAGCCGATGAATAATTGTTAACATTATTTACTGTATAGGTATATGTATTTTTGTCTTATTTATTAGTAATTGTATATACTTATTTTACTTTTTCCTGTCTGCATCCGACTACAGTTTTTCTGCCCAATATCGGGCTACGTCTACATCCTTTGTATTTGTGAGCCATAAATCATCGATGGTGCACTGTGATGAGCAAAGTCTGCATAGTCTCAGGTGCTCCACATTCACAAAGTGCGTCGCTATTTGTCTTGATGCTCCATTTAATGAGGTTCTGTTTTACAGGGGCAACACCTGTGCGTATGCGGTTGAGTGTCCACCAGGTTCTCCAGTCCAGGTTCATTACATTAGGTCGTTCTGAATGTATGGGGAACAGTTCGGGTAGTTAGACGCTGACATTTTTCATAAACCTTTTCCTTGATTTGAGTCGGCTAATTCCTGGCGGTTCGTCAAACCCGTATAATTAGTGCCTTTTATCGAACGTTTGCCTGAACTTCTCCACATATTGTTAGGCGCATCTACGATCGTCTGGTGATGCGAATCCAGCTACCCGGTATAGTAGGAGTAAAGGGGTAGACTTCATACAACCGTGGTGACTTGTTGGGCGTGTCTAGATCTACTCCAGACGGGACAAGCATATTCCCCTGTTGCGAAACATAAGGCCTCAGCTGTTGACATCAAGACCTGAGGGCTTGCACCCCACTTGCTCGCTACAAGTTTCCGGAAAAGGTTGTTTCTCGTAGAAACCTTTTGTCTTTGTGCTCTGACAGTGGAATTTATACGGTATTATACTGGTCTAGTATCGCTCCAAGATATTTGGGCCTCTCAGTATGTTTCAAGCGTTGTCCCTCCCAAGAAACATTCAGTTTTACATGCGCCAGTTGGTTGTTAAGATGGAATGCACATACTTGGGTTTTAGTAGGGTTTGGCTGTAATGAGTTTTGTTTGTAGTAAGTTGACATCATGTTTAAAGCCTCTCTACTTGTGTGAGTGTTTTCTTCTTTACGGCTATACCAAGGTCGTCAGCGTAAACAAAACTTCCAGTCTGAGGATGCATTGGTTGGTCGTTAGTGTAGATGTTAAATAAGGACGGCGCCAGAAGGCTTCCTTAAAATAGTCCCTTTTTTGGGTTCTCCATCTGCTCTTCTTTCCATTTAGCACAACGTAGAAGCGTCTATTACACAACAGTGATCTAATGATATTTACCAGGTTATAGTCAAGCATAGTGTTATAGATCTTACTTAGCAAGATTTTGTGGTTTATTATATCATAGGCCGCTGTGAGGTCTATCAAGGCTACTCCTACTATCTCTTTCTGCTCCAATCCCTCCTCTATGTATTTTGTTAGGTTTAGCACTTGGCCTTTGCATGATTTACCTGGTCTGAAGACTGCTTAATATGGGATTAGTTTTGTATCCAATGTTTCCTGGATGCGGTTCAAAATGAGGTGTTCATTCAATTTATACAAATGGCATAGCAGAGGGACTACCGTCCGATATCTCTGCTCCTCGCTAGCTTAGGGTCTTTCCCAGGTTTCAGAAGGGCTACTACTTTTGATTTACGCCACAGTTCTGGAATCTGGTAGGTAGAGCGACATATGCTAAATATATTGAGCATCCATTATCTCGCTTTTTGCCCGAATTGTTTTATCTTCTCTGTTAGGATTTCGTCCACCGCAGGTGATTTTCCATTTTTCATACACTCAATGTCATTTTTGAGCTCTTCGATAATAAATGGGTTTCGCAATTGATTTGTTTCCTCGTCTTGAGTTCTTATAATATTTGGCATTTTGCAACGATTCTTTGTTTTGTAATTCAGAAGCAGTTGGTGGGTCTATCTGATTTAGCGTTATTGCACATGGCTCTTTTATCTCTGTGGGATCAACATTAAGTTTTTTGATCATATTCGAAGCCTGCTTAATTGTATAATATAAGTAATTGTATTATATTAATAATATAAGTAATTATATATAATTAAACCTTAACACAATCAAATTCCGAGATATTTTTTGCGTGCTATCCTTAAGAGTACTCAAATATATTAAATCTAAATATCTTAAATTTTTAATAATAAATATTTCTACACATATCTACATTTCCACACATCTACACAGTATTTCGATTGTAATATTCGGCACATATTCATTGTTGTTTGTTTAATAGTAACTTTTCCAACTTGGTTTATTGAACTAATTTTTGGTCAAATTGGTAACAAACTTTGCACGGCGCGGCGTTCAGTTAATTTAAAGTTATTAAATACATAAGTTTTAAAACGAACATGTATTTTATATTATTATCTTTTTCAGGTACACATTGTTATTTGATTGTAATAATTTTTCCTTATATACTATGTATGTATGTCGTATTTTTAGTGTCTATAATGGGATATAATTACTCTTTTTGCTTCCGTCTAGGAACCATATGTATCCTTTACATCTTATTAAAAATGTATTTCACCTTTTTAGATTATGTTTAAATCTTCTTAATAACTAATCATAATTGTATAGTAGTTTTAAAAATATTGAGTCCGGCCCCGATCCCACTATCATATTGGTATGATCGTTAACCACACCTTCTGACGCCGTTTTTAACATACATGTTAATATGCTCATATATTCCCTATAGATTTTAACCCGATATTTGAACGATATTGATATTGGTATTATAAGAACTTTCAAATGAATAAAAAATTACTATGACATCTCTATGAGCAATTTGATTTATTTAAATTTAAAGACACTTTACTGTGTGTATTTCTATATATATATATATATATATATATATATATATATATATATATATATATATATATATATATATATATATATGTATATATATATATATATATATATAAATATATATATATATATATATATATATATATATATGTTTAATTTATATTAGTTTACAAAACGTCCACTGAAAAGTGTTATGCCAGTATTCCAGTCCCTTATGTAAAAGTAGAATGGATGATCGGCTTCAAAGATGAATTTTGGTGGAGGTGGAACCAAAGACTTCTGGCCAATAATAACTAAAATCAAATAAAATAAATTTATTAACACATACAAAAGAATATGTAGGAAATATACTACAAATCATTGTAAAAGGCAAGAAATTTTTTCTGTTTCTCAGTATACAGTTTCTCTTTTGATACAAATATATTATAATCGTTTAATAGTTTAAATTTTACTGATTGTCTTTTATTACTAAATTTTATTCAAATTTAGGACAGGCAACAAGAGGACTAGGTTTTTTAATCAAAACCTAGTAGAATCGCTAAAGTGATAGTGGTCACAGTTTTTCAATTTTTACCAATATAAGACCTGAATTTAAAAGTTATAACTAAACCATTATTTAACTGGAGTTTTTAATCTTGGTATCTTAAAATATTCATTTTAGTTAGTATACATGGTAAGAACGTTTTTAGATTGCCGTTCACAAAGCTCATCCATAACCGAAAATGTATGCAATAAACCTAAAGTAAAAAAGACAAGCGCAAACATATCAGTCATGGGCATAAATACAGGGTGGTAGTGATATAAGTTTTCATACTATTTTAAATTGTTTCGTAATACCAGAAATTACAAGGGGCGTACCGGCATCTGAAATACACGTTAACGATTTGCAGATACCTAAACACTTAAAATTAGCGGATAGTCATTTTCATAAACCACAAAAAATCGAATGGTTGATAGAAAGTGATGTATTTTGGAAAACAGTTGATGCAGAAAGAATTAATTTAGGTAAAAAGAAACCATTCCTACAAGAAAAAATGTTTTGCTGGATCATAGCAGGCCGTAAACCAGCCAAAATACCGCATGAGAAAAGCAAATAACTAACTGCAATTTCACGAACACTATCGAAGTTACACAGTTATAGAACACAAAAAATTACCGTCCCATTCAAATTCCAAGTATGATCTACAAACCATTTAAAAGAATACTATATAATAGAATTAGCCGAACAATACTCCAATATATTAAATATTGGAAAGAACAAAGATGACCCCAAAAACAATAAAAAATAAATGGATTTCTCCAGAAAACAAAGACATGTATGAAGATACACTAAGATATTTACAACCCCTGGAAAATGAAATAGAAAATGTAGATCAAGAAAATTTTGGCATAATGAAGGTTCTCATAGAAATGGCAAAGAAGTACTACCCTACTATTCTAACCCATAAAGAAAAACTGAGTAAAAATACCAAAGAGCTATTAGGTAAATAAAGACAACTGACGGAAAAATACGGCTCCAACTACACAACAATGAAGAAATTAAATAAAGATATCCACCAATCAATCCAAAAAGACTTAAAAAAATAACTAAAGATACATAAAGATATACAAAAGATATATAAAGAACTAAGACAAGAAAAATAACTAAAATAATTCAAGGAAACAGAAGTTTAAATGTTTTAAGGCAAAAATCAATAAACATAGGCAACAAAAATATGTTCAAAATAAAAAAAAAACAAAGATTGAAACATTATAACGGACTAAAATCCTTGAGGTCGTCGAATCGTTTTATTGCAAAATGTATGACAAAACCGACAAAAGGCTAAATCAGCCCCTGTCAAAAAAACAAACCAGGAATTAAAATTAATGCCAGACATGACATCATACGAAATCAAAACGGCGCTTTTAGAAATAAAAATAACAAATCCCTTGGCGATGACGAAGTAGTAATCAAATCCATCAAACTAGGTAGAAACAAAATTATCCAGGCTTTGGCCAAGCTTTTCACCCAATGCATCTACCAAGAAATGACTAAAAACTACGGTCCTATCAGTCTGCCTTTACACATATATAAAATTTTCACAAAAATTATTAAAAAAAGACTGGATGCTAAGTTAGACTTTTATCAGCCTAGGGAACAAGCTCAATTTAGATCGAGATATAGCACTAACGACCACTTACTAGTGATAAAGAACCTGATAGAGAAGTCTACAGAATAGTGGAATACCAGAATATTGGAACTGATATTTGTGGACTACGACTAAGCATTTGATACCATAAGACATCAGAAAATGTAAGTTAAAAGCATTAACAGAATGCCAAATAGACCATCGCTACACTAACATAATCAAATATATCTACCAAAATACCACAGAGGGCAAGGAGACACCGTCTGTCCAAAGCTATACATGATGCTTTTAAAACATATTTTTAAGAAGGCACATTTAAACGAGCGTGGTAGAGCGTGGTTCTATCAACATAAATATAGAGAAGCTCAGTCATTTGAGATTGGCAGATGACATCGTCCTTATAGCGGATCGTATGGATGAGGCCTATTGTTCTCGCATTGAGTTTAGGTCACGACCTTAACTCGCCACTGCATATAACACAACATTTTTAAAGAAAATAAAAAGTACGATCTTTAAAAGCTTTACCTTTGCCTCTTGTCTCGTCCTCTTTTCCAACTTTCAGGTTCTTTTCTCTTCTGCCTCGCAAAGTTGGGACACTTTACTGGTTAAGTTTTCATCTAGCACCGAACAAAACAAAACAAGGATCTACCTGGTTTTGTTTCAAACTTTAAGAATTACCTGGTTTTGAAATCAACCTTGAATTTAACTAATTAATTCGAATAGGATGTACATTGTTTTAAACATTCTTACTTGGCACACATATGGATCCGTATTTTAACTCAATAAAAATAACTTAAAAATAAAATCTGAAAAAAATTGATGCACCTGTATTTAACACCAGACGGCTCATGTGTTGGTAGTATAATATCTGTATTCAAGTAATGTGGAATTTATATTGTGTTTATTATTGGCTTATTCATTTTTGTAGACAATCTGTTTTTTCACTTTTCCATGTAGGTATCTTATTAATTTCTGGAGTGATGTTATCCTTGCCCGCTGTTTTAATTAGTTTAACAATTTCTATTGCCTCCTTTAACTATTACGTTTTTATGGGTTCTATCTCTTGCTATCTATGTCTCTTTCTTAATCTAGATTTTCCCTGTAGTTTCCCTGTTTAAGATGTTCTCGTTATCTCTCTTTTATTTTTTTTATCTTTTGTTATTACCTTTTTGTCTTTTATCTTTTATATTGATTGTTTTGTGTACCTTACTTTATCTTAGCTGTTTCAGAGTATCATAGAAATAGTTTTTAATTTTTCCTGTCCTTTTTTCTCATTTTCTGTATAAATTTCTTCCATGACTTCTCTTTGGCTTATTTGACTGCCATTTTGACTTCCTTTCGTGCTTCCTTGCAAGCTTCTCGAATATTTTTGTGATTACGTACCTCTTTCATTGTTATTTTTTTTGTCTTTTTAAATTTACAAAAAAGAAGCAGATTATTTAACACAATCTTAATAGAAGAAAAGAAAGATCTAGATTTAAAAGTACAAAGGAAGAACTTTCTATAGCTAGTATAACTAACTAGCCAGAAGAAAAATTTTAGTCTGACTAAATAGAGAATTGGACAGTGAAAATTGGTCATAATTAAATGTATTTCTGTGATACCGCCACTATATTTTTTCGAGCTTGTACGATACAGTAGGTGATACAAAATTCTATGTCATTTCATAACAGAAGTTATACTATAGTGTAACAGTAAATTTAAAGAACGACAAAATCAGTTATGAACAATAGATATTAAGTATTTTAGCTTAAAAAATTTCAGTATAATTTGTTGATGAAATTTTGTAGTTACAGTTTATTTATTAAGCAACTACTTACGTGAAGCAGCTTTGTGTAAAAATAGTAAAAAAACTTATTAAAAAGTATTGAAGAAATTTAAAAAAGATAGGTATGTCTATTAAAAATAGTTTTAGATTATTTTTTTAGTCGCAACTATCAAACACGTATTCTTTAATAACCTTAACCTTCACAACTAAATAAATATAATATCCACTGACCTGCTGTAGCTGCTGCAGCTTCAACACCATCTTCATTAACGTTAATAAAGGCCTTTTGTAGAACGGAGGAAACCTTTAGACCCCGTTCTTTGGAAATTCCAGTGAGGTCAGCCCCATTAGAAAAAATGTTTTTAACTCCAAGCTAAAAATATAATACTTATACGAACCTATAATACATTTGGGAATACACTATTATAGTTAAATAAAAGTTAACTTTAAGTAGACCATTGGAAATGATAAAAAAGTCATTTCCGATTTTGAACATTTTCTTAACTACTAACTAAAAAAAACCATTTTAAAGATATAAAATAAAGAGAATATTATTGTGTAAACCTAAAAAGCTAGAAAGTTGAAATGGGGTCACACTGTTTTATAGAATTTCTCTTTTTCACTGTTTTATTACCATCATAGTTTTTAAGTCTTTTAAAAAAATATTATTTTTTTATGAATAGGTAGTCTCGATCTATTGTATTTACATTTTTGTTTCGTCAAAAGTCATAACTATGTTAATTTACTTTACATGTCTTCTTTGCAGAGCAATATCACGCCATGTCTTCTTTTTTTTTTCATTTTTCCTAAATTTTTTTATGAACCTAACAACTCTCATGACTTTCAATCCAGTCGTTAGAACCCCCTCTGTGGCTCAGTGGTAAGAGCGCCTGCCTTTAAACCTAAAGGTCGTGAGTTCGAATCCCACCTGGGTGGAAATTTTCGTTTAATAAAAAAATTAATAAATGAAAATAATTTCTATCCTTGTGTGATCGGTACACACCGGAGGGACCGCAGACGTTCGGATACAATTAGCGTCTCTTAGCAAAGGCAATGACGTCGACTTTGCTAAGTATCAAGACAATTACTCTACACACACAAAACACACACACACACTACATTAATACACTTATCTTGATTGAGAGTGGCTGAATGACAATTGTCCAAGCCAAAACACACACAAAAAAAAATACAGTCGTTAGAGACGACTGAATCTCTAAAAATCACATGAACTAGCTGAATTTTGCAGAGAATGTCATATTTGGCAATACAAACAGATGCAAAAAAAAATATTTTTAAACGTTTTATAGTAGGCAGCTACATTTGAACAAATTTTCGTATATAATATTGTAAGAGAGAAAATTTTTTTGGCTACATTTTCAACTGATATGAAAGTAGGCTGCCTGGCAATTTTCGAGAATTAAATTTTGACAGTTAAATCACGAGACTTCGGTCGAGTGATTTTGTCAAAATTTCATAAGCGAAAATGGCCAGACGACAACAAACTTAATTAAAACCAGAAGACAATTCTGCCGGTCAATAATTTTCTCTCGAATGATATTCGACAAGACTATTTCACGAGTCAAATAACGCACCATATCAACAAAACTTAATCTTTATTTATTTGTTAATAACTGTTAAACTTAATGAGGATTTTGGAATTCTCCTCGAAAAATATTAATTTTTGGCGGTTTTCTAAATATATCTCTTCTCGAAATTGCAAATTGATTATTGGTAAATAAATAAACTTCTATTTATTCAGTTAACACTTTCACTGCTAACTTTAAATTGTGACATTTGCCAGGAGCGGTAATATTTTTTGGTGGTTGTGATTAGGGGTTAACGTCAGAATTCCATTTTTGTATGTGACACAAAAAATATGATAACTCTTATATATTCTTGACGCTTGACTCCCATCGGCGTCATGCACACCTTGTTAAAAATTCCTTGCTCAATGCTCAACGTCACATATATTTTTGCATATTTTAAGAGAAATACAGGTGCTAAGTGCTAAGTATGGGATATACCTACCTGTCCGCTGTTAGATAAAGACATAAACAGCAAAAACATAAACATCTCATTATCACTAAGAAACGATCTCTTTCCATAAATGCCGAAAAATAAGTCAAATTGAACAAAAGGTGCTTCTTCCAATAGTCTTGTATTCTGTTGAGTCTGATAGTGCCCATATGAAGTACTAGACCTAAAAAAGTTAGTAACTCATCGTTGTCAAGTGCTTTCCATCTAGTAATTCTCGAGTTTACTAGAGTCCCTTCCTTACAAAATATTTCTTCGGCATACCGGTTTGTTTCAGTGACGATCAAAGTTATTATTTCGTCGTTCAATAGTAGTCGAAAATAACCAATAGGTGTATTACCTTCAGCAGTAGGTACCAGCAGTTGCTTTCTTTTAGTAAATTGAAACTTATTCAATAAAAAAGATAGCAAATATTTGATTTCACGCAAACAGGTTACATTAGGTCGAAATTAGGTTGATTAGGTCGAAATACTTATCAACAGATACATAGGCGCTGTTTTCGTGAAATCAAATATTTGCTGTCTTTTTCATTTTATTCGGATCTGCTCTGTACTAGTACAAGAAGCACAATTCGCTAAGGATTTCTGCTTAGTTGTAATGACATGTCATGGAATGCAAATTTTAGATTTCCCATGTCCTTTATAACATCTTTTATCAACGTCTGTTTGCCTTGCAATTTTTAAAAGGCTCAGATTATAAGTAGAAATCTGAATTGTGTTTCAAAACTATTTTACGGATGAAACTTATTCATTTCGCCGGAACCGTCGATCCACTGTGGTTCCGAAACCTCCTCTTGTGCCGCCTCTGCAACATCTTCTTGTACCGTCCCAATATCTTGATCAAATATACCTACAAGAAGTTTATAATAAATAATACAAATATTGTAAGTATATCTACAATTTATTTCACCTGTGTCATCTAAATAGACGTCCTTCTCAGAATCGGTTTCTTCTATTTCAAAATTATCATCACTCGATTCAACCAAATCGCAATCGTGTTCATCATCATTGTTTTCCAAAGCAGCCAAGAGCTCTTGTTCTGTAAGTCTATTTGGATTTATATACTTTAATTTAGTTATTTTACTTTTCGACGGACCTGGCGCACTTATATCCATTTCAGTCGATTATAGTAATAATAGCGGAGTCAACAACTGCACAAAATTTTTATAATGACTTACCTTTAGTACCACACCGAAAAATACACGTGCGTTTTATTCCAGTGCTAACGTCACAGTGGTCGTTAAGATACATCAGTAACTCCGTTTGGCATTATGCTTACCATGCATTCAACCACTCTGACGCCGATCGGCGTTATGAGCAGTGAACGTGTTAATGTAAGATAAGTGAAGAGAAAATGTTTCCAACAGGGAACGGACCAGGATCAAATAATTTTCAGTACTCTACACTGCAGTTTCCAACTGTAATGCAGAACGAGCCTACAAATCTAATACATCCGTATTACCAAGTAAGACAAATAAATACTCAAGATCCACCATTGTACTCAAATCAACTAACAGTCAACCAAATGATATCTTTTGATAATCATCAACAACAATATCACTTATAGCCAGTAGTTGCCCAACAAACCAATTTTTTTCATTCTACATCAAACTCTCAAGCTAACTTGATAAAAAAAAATCCAGAGCCACAGAATGAATATGATTCGATGTCAGATGAAGAACATGAAGACTGTCAAAATAATAAACACCCATAGCAAACAATAAGATCAAAAAGAAAAAGTCTTAAAAGTCAAGATTCAAGAGAAGACGAAGGTCCAGTTACACCCTCAAATAGGTTTCAGCCACTTCCACATGAAAACTTCGTAAATGATACGAATAAAAATTCACCAATCTCAAAACCTCCTTTCAATTTTTATATATGGCGTGAATGACTATAGTAAAATGATAGATAATTTAGCTTAAGCAGTAAAAGTAGAAACTTACTTCACTAAAGCCTTAACAAACAACACAAGAAAATTTTTACCAAAGACACCTGAATCCTACAGAAAACTAATACATCACGTAAGAGAGGAAAATATCGAAAAGAGAGATCTACATCACTCTTTTCCGATAGATGAAATAAAAGTGAAAATTCAGAAAAAGGGTTATAATGTAAGGAACGTAACAAATGTCATACACAGATTGAGTCGTGAACAATTACCATTATTTTTTGTGAACCTCGAACCTCAAACGAATAACAAAGAAATAATTAAACTACAGTATATTAAACATTGTAAAATAAGGGTTTAACTGCCGATAACTAAAAGAAATATACCTCAAAGTACACGATGTCAGGAATATGGTCACACTAAAACATACTGTGCAAAACCATTATAATTGCGTAAAATGTGCTGGATTACACAACACAAAGGACTGCAAGAAAGCAAAAACACGCCAGTAATTTGCACTAACTACAACAGAGACTCTCTTTTTAATTAGAGAGGATGTTCTGTTTATCGTGAACTACTAAATGTCAGATACCGTGACAAATCAAAATAAAACTCCACTCAAAATACTGTCAACAATCCCAATGTAAATATACCTACCCAACATCATGCTTATAACTTCAACAGAATCAGTTAAAGAGATGCCACCATTGGAAACATAAATGCAGATAACAAAAATAATATCAATGAATTAGCAGATAAACTATCAAATTTCATAACAAATTTAAAAATATGTTTTCTCAACTCTTAAACCAAAATAGCATGATTTTAACCATGTTAACTACAGTCATTAACAAAATAGTTTTCAAGTCACTATGAATTGCGTCGTGGAATAATAATGGCATTTAAAATCATATATTAGAGACATCACTGTTTTTAAAAATGTATAATATAAACATTCTATTAATATCTGAAAGCCATGCCAGACAAAGAACGGTTATTAAGATACCATACTATACTGTGTATAATGCAAACCATTCAAAAGGAGGAGTACATGCAGGTTCTGCCGTTATTATTACCAACCTTATATTACAAAAAAAATTCAAGCACCAATCATTAAAATCGAAAAAAACCTCAGTGTATCATCAGTCTACAGCCGATCTAGACATCCAATTTCAAGCGAAGAGTTGGATCCAAATTTATAGTAGCAGGAGACTGGAATGCCAAACACACTACATGGGGTTCCAGATTCATCAAGCCTAAATGTCGAGCATTAATGAATATCATCCAACAAAATAACTTAAGATACTTATCTACGGGAGAACCCACATACTGACCTACGGATCCCAACAAAATTCCAGATTTGATAGATTTTGCTGTAACAAAGGGAATATCTGACATCCATAGTGCAATAGAGTCAAACTTATATGTGTACTTAAAGGTATTATTATT